TATATTTAATAATAATAATAATAATAATCGTCTTTATTGTTACCCAGCTGTAGTTACATACAAATATTTAAATAAATTAGAGAGCTAGTTGCTGACATAACAAAAGACGAAGTTCAACTTAGTTAGCACAAGTGCTACTGAGTTGTTCTATACTAAGTATAAATATTGGCATATGGATACACTTTCGTTATTCAGTAGAAGAACCATGTGTGTCATTGAGAACGAATTCGTCATTTTTTCACTGTTGGACAACAATACAATATAGAAACAAAAGATTGAGAATGAACACTATGGAAAAATATTCAGTTGAGGCGATGTATGGACTTTCATTCGTACGCCTAATTTAGAATTCAAGATTTATCGTTTCAAATTACTGTAGTGGGTATTTGGGAATACTGAAACTGAATATATTTGATTTGAATTGAACCATAACCTAACTTTTGCGTAAAATGGCCCCCTTCGCCTCCGCAAAACAGTGAGTCAATGCAAAACCAATATATTTATCAGCTGAATCAAAGTATTTCGGTATGTCAATCGACTGTCCAAAGTTGGTCCGGAGCTCTCTTCAAATAGTGACATACTATAGTATCACTAAGATTTACACACAATTATCCACTTACTCCTATGAACGCACATGTATAGAAGATTCTACAAATTAGCCTGCAACTCTGCAATACAAAGTTTGCATATTCACCATAAAACCCATATACGACATCTTTGATCTTCGATATAACAATAATAATAACAAATTGTCTTAATTCAATATTTAATAGAATAACAAACTGGATGTGTTTTGAAATTAGGTATGAAAAATAGATGGAAACTCAGTTTAAGCTATAATAATAATAATACTTATTTGACTTCGTTACATAATACAATATGTTTGTACCAATTCATGTTTGGCTTTACATTTAAAATTTATAAGCAAATAACAACAATCACATATGTAAAAACTTTGAAAATCAAAAAGAAGTAGTGACTTGTGTGTTACCACAAAAATGTGTTCTGAAGTAATCGACATAATAGAAGCAATGCAGGATTATAAAACTATCGCAGTAGACTAGTTTGGAAAATATTATTGATCCGTGTAGTTCCATTTTTGGATCAGTTGTAAATGAATCTCGATTGGTCTGGATTTGTCAGAGAGTGCAAAATGAAGTTTAAAACAAATAGTTAAGCGTGCGTTATGAATTTCAAACTAGAATCGAGTCAAACCCCCATATGTTTACCTGAGAAGTTTCCTGGCCATCAATAGTGACTTGGGAATTCTAAAAATCTAGCAATTTTTCAGTATCGACTCCACTGAGATTATTGATAAAATTATCTAGAACTCCATCATACCAAAATTGTATCCAATTTGACAAACGCCCTTTGAATTTTTGTCCACCTGAAATATGACATTTTTCCAGGTTGCCCTTTTCAAAATTAAAGAAATTCGCCATGTACTCGGAGGAACAAGATTCGCACGGCTTATTAACCTTGCATTATGGGAAACACCATGCCACTATAGTCGATGAAATCAAAACCTGCTTCGCTTCTGAGAATTACGCCGACATGACGTTCATTTGTGATGACAAGACGACCCTGAGTGCACATAAGTTGATAATGGCGTCTGCAAGCCCTTTAGTACGCCGCATCCTCGGAGAGAGCGCTCATGCTCACGGGACCAGCGTCGTGCTCATCCCTGGAATCAAAAGCTGCCACCTACGCCATCTCTTGGATTTCCTCTACAATGGTCAAGCGTGTATCAAGGTGAGAATTTACTAATAACTCAAATTGTTTTTCAAACGGGAAGGTGTCCTATCTCTGAAATAATGGTTGGTGTCAATAATATCAAAAACGATAACAGAAAAAGAGTTCGAGGCTATGATACACATTATCGAGTTTGAAGACTCGATAATGTTATATATAATTATAATACAGGTATGAGTTGAGAATAGCCTGAACTAATTATTGTTTTCGATGATCTGATTTACAGCCAGTCTTCAAGTATGCCCCCTTACTATATATGAAAAAATGTATAAAGTTGATGGTCCATATCTTGCATACTCATTAGCTCTTTGTTATCTGTGAATGCTGAGTGTGCAGATATTCAGTATAGATTTTCAACCGAATTATGGAGTTTAGTTTTTGTCTGAAGAGATCTCAATGTGTTGGTAGTCTTGCCTGTAACCGTCCATTTTTCAAACAAACCAAGAACATTAGGTATGACCCTTATAAAAACAGAAAAACAATTTATTTTATCATGAACTTTTGGGAAAAATGAAACCAATACGGAAAAGCAAAGCTACATCTACATTAAATGTTCGAATTGACGAACTCTTTGTTGAATGCACATAAATTGTCGGTCCAGACAATTTCTGTGGCAATTTTCTAACATAATAGGTGTAATACTAATACATGCATGCATCTCTAACTTTTTGTTTGAGATCGTCGATATCTGTACTTGGTGTTGAAAAGACTTTATCTTTCATGTATCCTCAGACAAAAAAATCTAAAGGGAATCTCTTGGGAATATTGCATCTAAATGTTCCCTCACTATTGCTGCATTATGAGGCGGAGTGCCGTCCTGTTGAAAATACCGAACTTTTCTTGGAAATTGGTTACCCTATGCGTGAATGGTTATTTGTATTATTACACCTATAATGGATATTTCTGTAAAACCAACCATTGCCAGTGAATTTTGATTCGTCCGTCCATATTACTTTTTTACAAATATTTCAAACTTCCCTATTTCTACGTCTTAATCACTTCGTAAATCGTTCTCTCCTTAAGTAATTCCTTTCCTTGAGGTGTTGAACTTTGCGTATCTTGTAGCATTTATATTTATCAGACGGTTGACACCGTTCTGAAGAGACCATGCCCGGTCTGATGATAGGCCAAACACACCGAAACAGGTCTATCGGTTGATCGGATCGACCAAATGAATTTAATTTCTGCCTTTCTTAGTGGGAAATAACTTGCGACGAATCTTTCAAGTCGAAGACGTTGCACTGATGGTTTTACTTCAACTCTCTGCGCGGCATTAGCATTTTTGACGCTAACGTGATGATTAGATTTAGAGTGGAGATATCTATTAGTATTCGTCCGATAAAAACTCGTATCAAGGGTTATTCATCAATTTTTTGTTCCACATAAAAAAAATTTAATATGAACTTCCTTTTCTAACGTAAATTATATCGTGGGTTCTCTTTGATACGAATGATTCGAGAAAGTGTTGATGTCATCTGGGTTATGGTTCCAGATAGCGAAGATACCAAATCTTTGGAACACTCTGGAAAGTCATGTTCCATGAAAATCTTACTAACAATCGGTGACAAGGATGAACTCATTGCTCTTCCAGATTCTTGTTGATGAAAATCCTCTTCGAACTGAAAAATTTATATCGGTACATAATTTCATTCGGAATGTTTTGTTGAGGCTGCATATTTGACACCTCCACAAGTAATGTATTTCAAATAATATATAGAGCACACCGCATTGGGTATTATTAGAAACTAAAAAAATGTAAAAGATGCAATTTTGTTACAAAGTATTCTCTAGTATGAAGTCATTACTACTAATTTTATTATGTTTTTTCAAACCAGAGGTCACTTGATCAAAGGTCCCAGAATTACTTGTTATCACTACACGCGTATGTCTACACCCAATAATTGATTTATTTTGAAGGTATATAAAATACATGAAATTATCATTTAGAAATAGTCAAGGTTAACGAGGATTCATTAAAACTTGGAATATAATAATTTTTATTCCTAAAAACGGTCAAATCTCGGGTCCAATAAATGAATCCAGCTATGGCTTAAAGGATGTTCAAGTCCATTTCCTGATCTGCGCCGTTCATGAGGTGAGCGGTGATTGAGAAGAAATATGAATACTAAATAGTTGAATTACAGTTCAATTTTTCCTTTTCTGACACGCCTTCATCATTTTTAGCTTCAATTAAATGCTTCTATTGAGGTTGTGATTCTGGTACAATTAGCAGCATATATTTGGATCAAAAGTTGGATCAAATATATAAACCTGTGAAATGTTTTGTTATTTTTACTGCGATCCTTGATATGAGTAAAGTCCAATCGAAAAGAGCTATGTTGGTCTGTATAGATACAGGGGACGGCAAGTAGTTTTGGATGGGGTCCGGACACTGTGGAAAATTTTTAACGAGGTCCAAAAAAAACAACTGATAATAATTAGGTGCTACCAATGTATCATTTTGGTTTCAAATCAACACAAAACCTAAAATCAATGTGAGAAACTACACCGACGATCTTGAGCTAGTTTTTTATAGTTTGGTTCTCGATAGGAACAGAAAATTGAAGTGTGTCTTCTAGTTGGGAGTCTGTTAATCTCGAACGATTTCAAAAAATGCATCTTTCAGACAGATGTGTTTCACATTGTTATGTTGAGCCAAACATAGTGGCCAAATGTATAGCTAGTTTCTTGAAATTTTCATGTTTGACCCAAAATTCTTCAGTAGATACCGTTTTATATATTTGCAAAGACACATCTTCTTGCAAATCAATTGTCTCTATTTGAAGTGTTGACTTTGACAGATTTAACAACTTAGCAGCCACATCTGACCATTCTGCCGCAACATCAACTAATCCGCACCAACACACACAGGCTAGATAGGAAACTAATCAAACCATATTAGTTGTAGGTACTTGTGAAACAGGTTAACTAGGCAACTTATTGAAGTAAAATAAGTGCTAAGTTGAATTTTATGTGACTCAAAAATATTATTTTAATAAATAAGGTATGGTATACCTTATCTACGTATTAATTTATAGTTGGTATAAACACATTACACTATTTGGCATTCCGAGGTTAGACCTTTCCGCCTGTTTCTGACCGTTGGTATAGAAGCTATATTTTGGTCAAGGTTTCATATTTGAACGGTATCAATGTACATTATCTTTGTATTAGTAAATATGAATGTGTAGTGAAATATTGAACAATTTTTCCCTTGTCAAAAGTGACTTGAAAATGATATTTTCTGTACATTGCAGACTTGAACAAGTACTTTATTCATTTTTTTTTGGGGAATCATAAAAATAAATATCGTGTAGTCTGTACTATATTCGAATTATGTGAGAAGTAGGTAAGAGTAACTTCTTTTCAGTAATTAGTTTTTTCACCAAATACAACGATTTTTCAATGTCTGGTTTCTTTATACCAAAACTTAAATAGCCACAACAGTGGAATTTGTGATTTTTCATATTTTTTCCAGTAAAAGTGACGTCATATAAAGAGTTGGGCCAATACAAACGAAAGAAACACCGATTTCACATTGAAAAGTAGGTTGAACATTTCGATTTCTATTTCTTGAGGAATTTTTTTTTCACAAATTTCCAACCTTGTCACTTCCACCCCTTCTCATTTCTCAAATGGGATAAGTGATACTTCGTTAGAAAGTTTATCAATTTCTTTTCAATGACTGATTCTGCATCGTTTATCCTGCATGGTGTTCATTTTTTTGTTTACAATGTACAATTTGAAATTTAATACTTCTTATATACAAATAAACACCTGCTATCGTCAGTATTTGAATGAAATTTTTCGTGATAGGTAGATCGGTGGAAGAGGTCCAGTGAGGGAACGTCAAATTCACCCGATTTACTTGTGTTAGATTTTTTGTGATGTCACTCAAAGACTACGGTCAAAGTCAAAGTCAAAATATGCTTTATTGTCTGAAGATTAACATCTTATTGACAAAACTTGGGTTAAAATAATTCGAGAAACAATTTCACACATAGTAGCTAGCGCTACGTGTCAAGTTATAATTATTCGAGTAATGTTTCCGAAAACTATGTTGACTTATAGACTATCAAAACGTCCTTTCTCGATACCGACTAACTCAAATTTGAATAAGTGGGTAGGATTCAAAATAGGAACAAAGTATAATGGTTCCATACCATCTAAGATTCCAAGGTTGAATTGTGTCTCGTCGAGGGGGTGGAAGTGTCACTATTGAAAATATGCTTATTTTGGCCCACCCCGTATAAGTATATATGCATTTACCTCGGGCATTAATATCTTTCACGTACACATTTTGATGATTGAGGAGAACTAAACACAGGACTTATTCATTTCTAGCTACCTGAGGGTGTTGAACTGGTCGCTACAACAAATTTATCATTTGTAACCCTCGATTTAATAGAAAAATACACAGACAATGCTTTATTGGCTTATCAGATCGTTTTTATTTTTCATGATTTCTAGCTTCCTCAAAGAACCTCCTTATAAGTAGCCAATGGTTATTTCTCGGATATCACCATCAAAGCTGATGTTCCTCAAGTATCCATAGTACCCAGGGCCGTAGCGAAAAGAAAAACCAGGGGGGAGAGGAAATCCAAATTTTCCCAACCCCACCAGCAAAATTTCCCAACTTTCAAAAAAATTAAAGCCAAGGGATTAGTTACTACTATAATATATTAATTTTTTTACTTAGCTATCCAAAGATTGGCTGAATGCTTCTGCCCGTTAGGGTATGCACAAACAAAAATAAATTTTGGTAATTATAAAAATAATAATGGGAATTATTCTACTTTGGACCAAGGTCCTTCTTCTTCCACTATATCCACCATGTATAAGAATATTCAATACAAATGAAAGGAATCAACACTTGAATAATATTGTGCTTATTGTTTTCTACTATTATTTTTTCCATCTTCACGGCCCGAAATTTCACAACTTTTCCAAGTCGAAAAAACAGCGAAAAATTGGGAATTTTGTAAAATTGTCACTTCAAAATTTGTGGACTGTTCAGGACTGTTCTCTTAATTGACAATACAACATCATTCATTTCGAAATCAAACACAAATGAACTATTGTGATAGTGAATTATTTAATCTTTGAGACAAAAAAAACGTAAACATTATTTAAAACGTTTGGAGTAGCCTGATTGATTAAGTCATTATTGATAGTGCTATTATAGTTCATTTAAATGTTTTTACTCGTTATCAATACAAGGTAGTATAAATAACTAGAAAAAAGTTGTATTGGAAAAAAAATTAAAACCATGTCCTGCTTTGTCACGGAACTAAATCGAATCCTAAATACAGGGTAACCGAATGAAAACAAAACAGAGCCAATAACTGCGTCAGCAGTTTACAAGGCAGAGATCTCCCGATTTCTCATTAAAGGGGACCCTGTCATCCCCAAGTCTAAGAATCACCAGAAAAACAGTTTTATAGTTTTGTGGAATGTAAATTTTTTGCTGCTCATTCACTAATTAGTTTAATTAATGTCCACTCTCATAACCATCCGTACTCTCAAATGATTGTAGATTGTATTCGAGATATTATCACATTTTCCGACACAAATGATTCAAATACCATAATTATTTTTTATCGATTTCACTTCATCGATAGCAAAACAAAAAATAGTCAAGAGGCTATGAATCTGGAGAGTGTCTAGGCTTGTCACTGGTGCGTCTTCTCCCATTCTAGTCCATAGGAAATTTCAGGTTTGAATACTGACGCATAATCAAAACATAATTTGGTGGGGAACCTCTCTACTGAAACATTGAATAGCCATTGTATCATTCATTCAGACTAAAATTTTCCATGGCATTGGATTGGGATAAGAGGCGGCATTGACTACCGGCCGCACAGATATCTCTGAATAACCTTCACGGTCGCCAAATCTATAACCCCTTGTTTATGAAGATCTTCAGAACACAATTAACATTGGGAAGATTCGCGTCACTAAATTGTCGATGAGTGCAATCGAATCCCTTTGGAGTTGCTTCGAACAGTATTTTCATTTTTGTATTGGAATATCTGGAGAATTTTGGTTGTTACAGAATGCTAACCTGCAGCTATTGTTCCATATCGAAAACAACACGTATCAAACCACTATTTCAAACGATTCCGTTTGTATTTTGACAAAAATGTATTTTTAGCGTTCCCTGAGTGATGAGAGTATTTTCAGATGCAGAAGTTATTATAAAAATAAGGAATTCTATGAGGAGTTTTTATGTTGAACCAATAAAAAACGTTTTGCATATTACTAGAAGAGTTTCAGAGACTCCCTTTGTAAAAGGAAACAATTTTTGAAGCTCTATTCTATAACGCATTATAAAACATTTTTTAATATATGATAACTCTGAAGACAATCAAATACAAAAGATTAATTTGGGTTGATTCATATTATTTTTTTCAGTCAAGTGAGTTGGACAGTATCCAGGAACTATTCGAATTGCTTCAAATCAAGTCGGATATGTGGCAGTCTTCCAATTCGGAAGAGGCCAAAATACAGTCTGAGGATGAAAGCAGCTGGGCAGCAACGGAGAACGAGAACTCCCAACCAGTATTAGTGAAACGAGAAACGGACGATGATGAAAAAGAAGAAGGGGAAATCAAGGATGACGATGATGACACAACAGAACCGATCATTTCCGAAGAACAAAACTCAGGATCTCCTAACCCGGTTAATTTATCTTTAAATACCAAGAATGCTGATGGCGAAAATAAGGATAATGATTACGAAAACACCACGGAGGTAAGTTTGTATCATTCATCGAGTGTCTCATTTAATTCTGATTTTCTTCGTCTAGAAATCGGAACAGAAGAATTCTGATTTGCTGAAAATTGGTCAGTCAACTGTCAAAATTGCTCCGAAAGTTCATGAGCTGTCTCAGTTCCACCATCACAGAATGAAACGTAAAAGCGTGTATATCGAACCTATAGATCTGAAACATCAAGACGACTTCTCCCAGTTGAAACCTCCTATTGCTGATCAAAAACTGATCTCCCTTGTACAGAGTCCAGACAATTACGTTGTTACGCCTCACAGAAAGAGGAGACCTGGTTTCCACAACTCGCCAGCACAGAACCCACCGTTTGTCCCGTTCTCTCCGTCCTACATCGAAGATGCAGCTCATCATCACCATAGGTATAAGAGCCTTCCTCCTCTGTTAGCTGCACACCACCCCCTTTCATTGTCCGCACCGCCGTACCTGGTGGATAGGACCCACACTCCGACTCCAGGCCAACATCCAGACACTTCGGGTCCACCCGACAACGTTGTGGTGAAATACAGACCTCCTAGTGCTGATCAAGGACTGGCTTCGGATTCGTACCAGGCTTTTGAACACACATGGGGTGCTTGGTCCCTCTGTCAAACACAAGTGAACCCTCCTGGAACCGAGGAATCCCGTGATCCACCACCGTCGTTTTCAGTGAGCGACGAAACCGCTGAAAGTTCCTCCCATGCGACGGCAAGCAGCAAGCAGGCGCTACCAGCAGTACAAGTTCGTGAGTATCGTTGTGAGTATTGCGGTAAACAATTTGGAATGTCGTGGAACCTGAAAACACATCTCCGTGTACACACTGGTGAAAAACCTTTCGCGTGTAGGTTGTGTGTGGCTATGTTCAAACAGAAAGCCCATTTGCTGAAACACTTGTGCTCCGTGCATAGAAACGTTATATCCTCAAGCGACGGCAATTCAGGAAGGTTCAACTGTTGTTTCTGTCCGCTCTCATTTGAATCTCTTCCAGAACTGATAAGACATTTATCTGGGCCTCACAACAATTTGCTATTGAGTAAAAACATGCATGAGCTCAAGTAGCTCAAATTACATTCCATTTCCCACTGATGAGGTCGTACAGAATATTTTGGAACGACCGCATCTTGTGATATGCTGAACCTATCAGTGCCTTTTCATGTATCTCGTGTGGACGTAGATGTAGTCGGTAGCCCTCGGGATAAGATGAGTAGAATTGCCCCAGGGTCAGGCACGAGAGTTATACGGGACCAAATGTGCCTTCCACTATGATCGACGCCCTCCTTTAAAATTGTGTTATAGTTGTATTGTCTAGACATAATCTCAGCCGATGTGTTCAATTTGACTATACGTACCTAACTACGCGTGGTGTGTATGACAAGTGGTATTTTTCATGTGATTATACGGCTGGTCCGATTTTAATTGCAGCTGTCTATATAAATTATTTATCGATCATGTTATACACACCACAAGTGGGTTAATTTTCATACATTAACCGAAGATGCTCGATCGATCTCTCTGGGTGGATGTGATGCGCTTGATTAGGGAACAAAATTATGCACTCACTTGAGAATAAATGAAAGCAATGAACGAGTATCGCGATGAAATCAATTCGAGATTCTTGGAGCATTTTGGGTTTTTGTATGTTAACACTTGTATATTACTTGCTTATAAAGTTTTTACTATAAAACTGGAACATACGATCGTATATTTTTTCAATATACACACCAAAGAAGTAAAAATTAAGTTGAAATGCAATCTTGTAACTTATTCATCTCTCTTTTAATTTGCTCTCATTTCCTTCCTAATCACCAGAATTTTTCAACAGATAAGGCCATGTTAGCTAGTTTTTTTTGTAATTTAATTATTACTTCGATATTATTTTGGCCATTCAGATTTTAGGTCAGATTGATCTACACTATTCTTTAAAATTGACTTGGTAAAAATCTTTCGAACGATTGTTTTTTAAAACGTGGTACAAATGTGGTAACTTAGTATTCTTGTTAGATTTGTTAAATGTAAATATCTAGTTTGTAAATAGTGTATGTAAGAAAATAAAATATTTTTTCTTGTATTCATTTCATTCAACCTCATCCTTGGATGTCAAAACAAATGACAAAGCTGTGAGCAAAGTTTTGTAAATAATTGAAAATGCTTATTGCAATTAAATGTGGTATGATCAACAACTTTATTTTCAATGGAATCATTGACACACTGCGAACCATTCACGCTGCTTCCTGTATACGCAGATTGGTAAGTGCTTGTAATATATTCCGTGCACAGATATAATAAATTGAAGAATATTTCAATAGGACCTTACAATACTAAACAGAGCATTGGCGCCTATTCATAACTTGACCTTAATTTCTACAATGAAACATGCCATTTTATTCATTCACTGACCCTTCTTAAGTTAACATCTCAAGTAAACGTTCATCATGTGTCAGCTAATACAATCCTACATTTGACACCGTTTTGAATGGTAGATTGAGAGAAGTTGTTCTAAATATAATCCACTACTGAAATAGAATATGAAATGTTTACGGGCTAAGTGGCAAATTACGAATATAATTTAGGTCTACTCATAGGATACACAATGAAAAAATTAAAAAGTTTTTCAATTGCCTCGGCCTTAATCTTTCACAATACGCAATGAGCGAAATTATACAGTTATGATAATGATGTTAATAATAATTTATTCATCTTCTCAGATCGCAATACTGATATGAAACAAGTCAACAACTGTCATGAAGAAAAGAGAATTGAAATTTTCTGTTTTTTACCACTTTTATTTGTAACTAACGTTACTGCAGTTTCGTCCTATAAGGACATTATAACTCCATTTTAATTTAAACTTGTTGTTGTGTGTTTTGAATGTTAGTGTTATAGGCACGGCAGCTCTGGTGTTAGGGAGCGAGTCATGGGTTCATTAAATGTGGGTGCTCTTCGACAGGGCGCCACTCTATTTACGGACAAAAACAGAGAAATAACAAAAATGATTGAAAGACCTGTTGAACTGTACGGTTATATAATGAGGTATCAACAATAAAAATGTATGTACAATACCACTACTTCCCTTAAGGGATATTTCAATGATTTACCTTCTATTGATTTGTACTTTTCATTTGAAAACTTCCTAAGTTATTTTACATCCCCCTTATATTGGCCAATACATGAGTTCACATGTTAATTTCTTTCAATATCATATTGCTGATGATTATATATTTAAAATTTAAATGTTGAGTGGTAAGTATTATCTTCTCTTAATATAAATAATTCTTTGGATCCTGGAGTTATAATTAATGGATAATGGAAGTAGAAACCAAGGAAATGTGCATAAGTNGTGTTAAAGAAGGAGGAATAAGGTGTAAAGGTGACCTAGTGAATAAATACTTGTGTTTTTAAATAGTTTATTTAGTGAAAAAGAAGGCTGAAAAGTTGCCCTTTTCTGAACTTTGAAAGGGCCCTAACTTTTTAAATAATGGAGAGCGCCGCTTTTTTCTTTCGGATTCGTAATCTACGCATCAAAATACGTAAGTACAGTCAAAAATTTTTTTTGGCTTGTTGAGTACCTGAATTTACAATTTACAATGCGGATGTGATAATTTGAAAACCGGTGAGTAAACTAAATCGATTTGATCATTTAACAGATTGCACCCGCAAGATGTATGCTTGTGAATTTCCAAGGATTCTAAATAATTGAGTTTGAAACCCCTCCTTGCATAGTGCAAAATTTCCGTATCGTTCAGATTCAGGAACTTGTGGTTGCATGTCAAGGAATAGTTTGAAAACGTCGAATCATTTTTTCCTAGTCTGAAGGACCTTTCTTGTTCAGCATACCGTTTTTGGAAATTTAGACCACATTGTCCCACATAAACACAACATTATTACACTCCGGACACTTAAGCTTATAAACTCCAGATTTCTCCACCACCTTATCTTTGGCATTGAAAAAGAAATCAGATAATGTGGCACGAATGCCACTTCAACATTGTTTTTTCTGAAGAAACCCGCAATTATCTCTGTTCTTTTTCCAGTTACCCATTTCTTGATTTCTGGTTGTTTGACCTGAGGGTATATTGATCTGTAATTGAATTTACGGCTTTGTTTTCTGACTAACTTCTGGATAGTATCTGCGTTGAAACCATCATTATGGCCTATCTGGGTAATTATATTAATTTACCTAGCTAGATTGTCTGCAGACAAAGGCAGTGAGAATGCTCTGTGCAACATTGAATTGTAGGCTGTAGGCTGGATGGAAAGAATCGCTTGGGATGGTAATATCTGGAAAAATAACAGAGATAATTGCTGGTTTCTTTAGAAAAAACAATGTGGAAGTAGCATTCAGACCACATGCCAGGTTATCTGATTTCCTTTTCAATGCCAAAGATATAGTGGACCATATCAAACCATTCCTTGGCATGCAACCACAAGTTCCCGAATATAAACGATACGAAAATTCTGCACTATGCAAGGAAGGGTTGCAAACTCAATTATTTAGAATTCTTGGAAATTCACAAGCATAAACATTGCGGGTGCAACCTGTTAAATGATCGAATCGATTTCGTTTACTCATCGGTTTTCAAATCGACACCTCTATTATTACCTACAGGGGTGCTATATAAGGGCTAATGTAATGAACCATTGTTAGTTTAATGTATAAGTTTGAAAAGGTACTTATAAGATGAAACTGTAGTAACGTTAGTTACAAATAAAAGTTGTAAAAAACTTAGAAAGTTTCAATTCTCTTTTCATCATTATGATTTCCTACCACGTAGTAAACGGCTACATCCATCAATTTATCAACAAGTTTATATGCAGGGTGAAAAAAAATAAAAAAAGTTCATATAAACAAAGGTTTGAAAATATGTTGTTTCCAAGATTCAAGTTGTTAAACATTAACTTTTCTATAATAATACTGTAAATATGTCTAATATAGATCAAAACGTTTGTGAAGACAGTATCGACGATGGAGCCTATATCGAGGTACATTCGTTTATGAAAATGAATATTTCTAAATAAAATCTCGAAATATTTATCTCTCCCAACTACACCGTAGGTTCTGGTAAATGCCTGCGAAAGGACAACTACTTTCTCGGCTAGTACCACGCTGGATATTGAATTATATCCGATTTATGTAAGATACCTCACAGACGTTAGTCTCGTAGATTTTTTGAATAATTTCAGCATGGTCCTGCTGCTGGATGAAAGAGAAACATATGTGAGATATCTTAGCCAGGGAAGTAGTTGCTTTTCGGCAGACATTTACCAGAACCTACGGTGTATGTTTTTGGATGGGTGAACGTTTCGAGATTTTATTTTCTCATATGTATATATCTCTCCTCGATTCAGTCTCCAGACACGTTTTGATCTCTGTTAGAGTATTGGTACATGGAATGTTTCTTCCACGCTTGGGGCTTTGTACACCAGATGGAGCTGTTACTTGTTAATAATCTTTCTCTTAGACGAAGGTTTCACACATGCAGTCGAGCCTAGTTGAAATGAATCGAGTACCAGGCACTTTGCTGTTTGGTTCGGATCTTTCCTGCACTGATGAGGGGTAATACCTCGTAACCGGTCTGTAGCTGTTCTACTCGATTGATTTTAGCATGGTCATGCTGCTGGATGAACGAGAAAAATCTGCAAGACTAACCTCTGTGGTGTATCTTGTATAAATGTATGTCGGATATAATTCAATATCCAGCGTGATATTAGCCGGGAAAGTAATTGTTATCCAGCAGGCATTTACCAGAACCTACCTTGTGGGTAGTTGGCAGAGACGAATGTTTCACGATTTTATTTCGAAAGATTTATTTTCTTTTCCCTAATATGATTTTGGTGAAACTCAGAAATTTCTTTTTCAGTGATAAGAGATTCGTTTAGCTTCACTTAGATACAAATTATTGTATCTAACTGTATCTCGCCTTTCTCCGATTTCTCATTGAATTTGAAAATAAAAATACCTGATTATATCAGTCATTTGAAATTGAAGTCTAGTAAACACATACAAAATCGTTGACATCAAAGTTCTTTCAGAGGTATGTATATAAAAGCATTCTTCAAGAAGAAAATGTTTCCCCTAGGCTTGGAAGAAAGAAAACTGGTTTCATTTTCAATAACTTTGGGTAAATGATTGTAAAACTGTAGCTCTCATTTTTTTTTTCTAAAAGGGTAGTAGAGTGGCGCGAGATTTTAAACACCGCCATGCCTGGTGAAAGATCATGATTGTGTGAATTCTAAACAAATTTGTTCGGATTTTATGTACATAACACAGTGATATATAATATTCATTTACAAAATAGATAGTCATAGATATATAAATGAATTGGCCGATAATTGATGAAAATCCTTTATGTATTGAAATAACACTTCGTTGAGATATTTTTACTAGACAGTTTACAAAATCGCGACACGTGTTTCCCTATGTAATAACTCACTCAAGCGTTTTCATATTGACAAAATTCTAATTAATGTGTGCTTTGTATAATAACAATTGGTGTATATTACTTTCTACCTACATAATGACTTATAATTTTAATACCTGCATTGAGGTGAAAACTAGTTGAAATTTCTCAATATCATAAAAGAAAATTTTAGTAACTCATTGAATATACATTTTGTGCTTTAAAAAATAACAATTTGAATCAAATGACCCTCAATCTACTCAATGACTGAGGTCTGGGAAGGATGGTGGGTGGAGTAGAAGTTCATCCCCCAATTAGTTCAATTTTCGGAGAGTGATTTGTGAAAAGTGCGGACGGACGTTGTCGTGAGGCAGGATTGCACCTCGATTTTCTCACAATAGGTTAGGTTAGGTCCAAACTGAGTAGGTCTATTCGACCCTCCACCTCAACCCGCAAGGGTTTATTGTTGCTCAACCTATTCATACTCGACCAAATAAACCCAGCTTTTCAACGAAGCCGATTAGTTTCTATGATGAGTGGTCTTTCAGGTCAGATGGTTGAAAGTACGACTCTACCGAACTCTAAAAGCCTGATTCGGTCCCCAGCGGGGCAGACACAAAGTATATGCTCTGCTGTTTCATCATTTTCCGAACAGAGGCGACACACACTG